CAAATGTATCCCTCATGGCGCAAAGTTTCCTGGTGACTCTTTTTTTTTTTTTAATGTGTTAAGAACACTTACCACACAAGAAATCACTACAAATCACTATGGATGGCGACTGCAGCCATGAAATACAAAGACACTTGCTCCTTGGAAGGAAAGCTATGACGAAGATAGAGAGTGTCTTAAAAAGCAGAGATTACTTTGCCCAAAAAAATGTCCATATAGTCAAAGTGATGGTTTTTCCAGTAGTCACGTATGGATGTGAGAGTTGGATTATAAAGAAAGCTGACCACTGAAAAATTGATGCTTTCAAACTGTGGTGTTGGAGAAGCCTCTTGAGAGTCACTGGGACAGCAAGGAGATCAAACCAGTCAATCCTAAAGGAAATCAGCCCTGAATATTCTTTGGAAGGACTGGTGCTGAAGCTGAAGCTCCAAATCCTTTGGCCACCTGATGAGAAGAACCAATTTGTTGGAAAAGACCCTGATGCTGAGACAGATAGAAGGCAGAAGGAGAAGGGGATGACATAGGATGAGATGGTTGGATGGCATCACTGATTTAGTAAACATGAGTTTGAGCAAGCTCCGGGAGATGGTGAAGGACAGGGAAGAGTGGCATTCTGCAGTCTGTGGGATCGCAAAGAGTCGGACATGACTGACAGATTGAACTGAACTGACTGAAGAACATTTAATATGAGACCTTCTTCCACTGTTGGTGGGAATGTAAAATTGATGTAACACTGTGGAGACCATTATGAATGTTCCTTTAAGAACTAAAAACAGAGCTTCCACATGATCCAGCAATCTCACTCCTGGGCATACACCCAGAGAAAACTGTAATTCCAAAAGGTACATGCATATCAATGTTTATTGCAGCACTATTTACAATAGTCAGGACATGGGAACAAACTAAATGTCCCATCAACAGAAGAATGGATAAAGAGGTGGCACATATATACAATGGAATATTACTTAGCCATAAAATGAAATATCTGTGACATTTGCAGAGATGTGGATGGATAGAGAGACTCAAAGTGACATTAAGTCAGGAAGAGAAAAATAATGATCATATATTAACGCATATATGTGGAATCTGGAAAAATAGTGCAGATGAGCGTATTTGCAAAGCAGAAATACAGACATAAATAGAGAGCAAATGGATGAACATCAATCAGGAAAGCAGGGGTGGGATGAATCGGGACATTGGGATTGACACATATACACTGCTGATACCGTGTATAAAATGGGTAACTGCCGAGAACTTACTGTATAGCACACGATATTCTACTTAATGCTCTGTGGTGACAAAGAGGCGATCTACGTGTGCATACAGCTGATTCATTTTGCTGTGTATCAGAAACTAACACAACCATGCAAAGCACCTTAATGCCAATAACAATTTTTAAAAATTTAGGAGATATACGCTTTGCATTTTTTTGAGCACACAATCCCTTCTCGTTAATGACAAGCACGGGGCAGGCATTTTGTATTGTACAGCAGATCTCTGGGATTTACTTCTCCTGTGTAGCTAATTTTATACTGATCCAACAACCAGTTTTTCCTTATCCTCCCAACTTCATCCCTGGAAACAACTATTCTACTATTTCTATTGTTTTTTGTGTTGTTGTTGTTTAGGCGCTAAGTCATGTCCAGCTCTTTTGCAACCCCATGGACTGCAGCCAACCAGGATCCTTCCTCTGTCCATGGGATTTCCCAGAGAATACTGGAGTGGGTTGCCATTTCCTTCTCCAGGGGATCTTCCCTACCCAGGGACCCAACCTGGGTTTCCTGCATTGGCAGGAGGAATCTTTACCACTAACTTATGCCTTTGATTATTTTAAATGCCTTGAATAAGAGGAATCAGGCAGTGTTTGTCCTTCTGTGACTGACCTATTTCACTTAAAATTGCTTCCAGGTTGATCTCTATGACTGCAAATGGCAGGATCTCCTTCTTCTTTTGAGGATAATATTCCATGGTACATTTCTTTCATGTTTTCTTTATGCATTCATCTAATGGCATATATTTGGGTTGTTCCTATATTTTGATTATTGTGAATAACACTGCAAGGAACATAGGAGTGCAATATCTTTTCAGAGTCCTAACTACAGTATTTTTGGATCTATAACTGAAAGTGTGATGGCTGGATTTATTTCTATTTTTAATTTTGTGAGAGACTGCCATGGTATTTTCCATAATTGCTACACTATTATGCACCATTTAAATTTTATTTTACATTCCCATTGACAGTGAACAAGAATTCTGTGTTTCCTACAAACTCACCAACACTTGTGGTTAATATCTTTTGGTTTTTTGATGATAGACACCCTAACAAGTGTGAGTTAATATCATCTTGTGGTGTGTTTGTTTGTTTTGCTGAACTTGCAGGCTCTCACATCCCCAACTAGGGATTGAACTTGCACCCTTGGCAGTAAAAGCACCGAGTCCTAATTACTGGACAGCCAGGGAATTCCCACCTTGTGGTTTTGATTTGCATTTCCCCAGGATGAGTGATGCTGAGCACCTTTTATGTATATGTTGGCCATCAGTAGGTCTTCTTCGGAGAAATTTCTGTTCTCCTTTGCCGCTTTTCTAGTCGGGTCATTTGTGTTTTTGCTATTGAGTTTTAGGAATTCCTTACTTATTTTGGGAATGAACTCCTTGTCAGCATATGGTTTGCAAGTATTTTCTCCCACTCCCTAGACTACCTTTTCACACTGTGGATTGTTTCCTTTGCTGTGCGGAGCTTTAATCCTTAATGCCATTTTTTAGTCCTTCATTCCTTCTTCCTGTCAGACAGTGCAACCTCACTTCCTCAGATAAGCTTCCTCTGTGCTCCCCACTGCTGCCTCCCATGCTAGGTTAGGTCACCTATGGTAATCTCCTGGTGCACTTTGTATTTCTTCTTTACCCAGTTTGCAATTATATATTTGTCTATGTGTGTTTTTAAATGTTTATTTATTATTTATTTATTTGACTGTTCTGCGTCTTAGTTGTGGCACGTGGGATCTTTAGTAGTGGCATGTGAACTCTGAATTGTGGCATGTTAAAGCTAGTTCCCTAAGCAGGGATTGAACCAGAGCTCCCTGTATCAGGAGTGCCAAGTCCTAGCCACTGGACCATCAGGGAAGTCCCCTGTTTATTCATGAAACAATGAACTCCGTGAGGAGAAGGATCTCACGCGTCCCACTCACTGTGATGTCACATCAGTTGGCATGGCACCCGGCACACAGAAAGAAGCGGACCAAACAAACTGGGACTCACCCAAGGTCATTCATTTAGCACTAGGCCTGGCCTACGACCTTGGGTCTAACGTTCATTTCTCTGCTCTGCCAGTTTGCCTCCACTCCACATCTTCCATTGCTTTTTTTTTTTTTTTCAGTACCCAGACTTCTGACCATCTAGAGATCAAGGCGTGATGTTTACACCTTCTCCTCAAACTGAAAAGATTCCATCTTCATCTCAACAGCCACCTCCTTGCCAAAATAAGCCAGAAAAGGTTATGAGAGTGCCTGCATTCCAGCAGGAGTGGAGCGGGACTGAGAAGAAAAACAGAGAAAAAGGAAATATCCTAAAATGTCGATTTGTTTAAACTTCTTCACAAGCTGAACAACACAAGGAAACCAACAGAGACAAGCTTGTAATGAAGTAATCAGCCAACGCTGCTAATATTCCAGTAACATGAAATGATTCTGCACATTTCATGGGGCAGATATGAATAGGGTCATTAAAATATGGCCAAGGAAGGGAGGGAGAGTTTACTTTTTCTGTCTCCTTAGAGTCTGTGTCTGAAAGCTCAGCAGGAATTTAAACAAATAGCATGGAGGAATGGTGAATCTGATCATATTTAAAGAGAAAGCCCTTTCAAACTTCTCTTTCCTTTGATAAATACATTGGCTTCTCCAAGTTTTGTTTTTAAAAACCCTGAAGGGTTTTTTTTTTTTCCTTTCAATCTGGAGAGCCTACTTGAGAAAAACAAAATTAGCATCAAATTGTTGTGATATTGTTCTGCATATATTTTTTCCTCTATCAAGAAGAAATTGTCCTGTCATCTAAATGAACGTAAGGAAATTAAAAGGAAGGTGGGTAATAGGGAACAGGGATCGTAATGTTCTCTCTTCTGTTAAAATGTGGAAAATAAAGTTAGAGAAGGGCTGGTCAGGTCAGTGGCACACGGGGAGAGCTACTGACAAAGGGAGGTCACACCAGTAACACAGGCTTGTGAAAGGAGGGCAGAATTGGGTCTCTGAGACTTTGGTCCCATACATTCTAGACAACCGTAGTAACTGTAGTTACTATGCAACTGGAGTAAGAATGGCTGAAGAGAGAGAGATGCTCTTAACATCCTTGGCTGAACTAATGGTACAGACTACTGAACTCATGGAGGATGGCAGTTCAATGCTCTGACCTGGGACAAGCTACTTCACTTAAAGCCACAGTCTTCTCACCTGTAAAATGGGGGAGAAGAAAATCTACTTCCTGGTTTTGTAGGTTATCTAATCTAAAAGAAATACATGTCACCCAGCACATAGTAAGTCGTCCACAACTGTTAGGAGGAAAACTTAGAAGCTTCTGCCGGTGATGATCCCCTTTCTGGAGGAGGACCCTCAGCTTTAGAGAGGATGGAGACCGGCCATGGCTTGGGGGGCACTTCAGCCAGCTGCCCCCTGCTTCTTCCAGCCAAGCAGCTCTTTCTGGGCTGCGGTGAGGCCTGGGGGCCCAAGGCTTGTTACCCAGTTTGCTTAAGCAAGTTCTTTTCACACACACACCCATACACGCTTTGGTCCAAAAGTTCAGTGAGGCTTTTTTCTTCCTCCTTCCTCTGTTGTTGTTGGGTTCTGATTACTTCCATCTGGTTGCGGCAGCTCGAGTGGAGTCTCTAAAAACAAAACAAAACAAACAAAAACCCTTCCTACCAAACACACAGGCACCAAACCTAGAAGACTGCTAGGCTTCTCACCAGCAGGCGCCCAGAGGGCGACTCGCGCTCGCCGCGGCGGGGGGCGCAGGCCGGACCCCGGCACCTGCGCGCGCCGGCGGCTGCCGGAGAGTCGGCGTGGAACCAGCCCCCACCCCGACCCAGAGCCGGCCTCCCTCCCCGCCAGCCCTGCAGTCCCCCGCTTCCGCCCCGGCGCCCGGAGGAGCGGGCGCACTGGGAAGGCCGACCCGGGCATCTCCCGGCGGAGGGGAAAAGGAGGTGGGGAGGGCGGGGGATTTCAGAGATTGAAAACAGAGCCGTCCCTGCGCCTCGGCTCCGGAGCTCATCTGACTTGAGTTAGCGACCCCCCACCCACCCCGGCGCCTTAGAAAAAGTGCTGGGGACTGGCGCGCTCTTTCGTTCTCTGCTGGAACTTTCTTCGTAGGTGTGCTTTCTCTCCCGGGCGCGGAGGAGGAGGGTCCTAGGCCCCCCCGCCCCTCCAGGTCCCCGGGATCCCCTCCGGGCGGGGGCGCGCGGCTCGGGCCGGGGCGCGGAGCCCTGTGTGCCGCAGCCGTGCGCGCGGGGGCGCTGCGCCGTGCGGGCGCGCGGCGGGCTGGAGCGCGGGAGTGCCGGAGCTCGCCAGCCGAGGCAGCACGGCTCCGCGGACTTTTTTTCAAACTCCCATCAATGAGTCTTCGAGGAGGAGCGGGAGGCGGCGGCGGCGGCGGCGGACGCGAAGGAAGACGAGGAGGAGCGGGAGGAGCCGGAGGAAGGAGCGCGGGCCGCCCTGCGCGCCGGAGCCTCGGGGAGCTGCCCGCTCGCCGGCTGTAGGGGCTGCCTGGCCCCCGTCCTTCTTTCGGTCCCCTCCCCTGCCTGGCCCGCAACGCCCCGGCTGGAGTGAGCCCGGGCTCACGGCAGCCCGTGGTGGATCGCCGCGCCAACCAAGTTGGGATGGGGGCCCGCAGCCACCGCCCGGCGCCCCGGAGGCCACCTGCGTGCTAGAGGCAAACTTTTGTCTCCCTCGGTAAAGTTGCTTTGGCCTTCTTTTGCTTGCTTTTCGTCGCGAAGTGCCCCCTACTTCGGCCGAACTCGGGCCGACTGGGATGCTGCGCCGTCTTGGAGCGTCCCTCGGCCGGGTACCCGCGCCATGGCACGGGGATTCGGGCACCGGGGGCTAGCGCGGCGGCCCGCGTTCGGGTTCTGGCTAAACCAGGCTGGGACCTAAGGGGAGTCCAGGGGTGGGAACTCGGGACCGAGGGGGCGATTTTGCATCCTCCTTCCCACCTGGGGGAAAGAGCCTGCCTTCTTGGGGAGCGCCAACGAGCTTGCCTCCACCCCGTCTCCACCGCCCCCGAGCCCGGGGCTGTTTTTTCGGGAGTTGGGGGTTAGCGCGGGGAGGCTGGGATGCTACAAGCTCCAGAGGTGGGCCGTGGGAGTGTCTCCGGGGAGTGTGCCGGGGGTGGAGGGGCTGCAGCCAGCCGCTGCGAACTTCTAACTGCACTTCTCCGCGCTGCCCGTCTCCAGCCCTGCCTTTCTTTCTTTCTCGCTCCTTCCTCCCCTCCTCGGGCCCTGTCGCCCCCTCCCCCTCGGTCAGGCTTTCTCTCCCGCCTCCCTCCTAGCTTCTCTCCTCCTCCTCCTCTCTTGCCCTCCGCTCTGAGATCCGCTTGACTTCCCCGAGGGATCCTCACGTAATCTCTCGCTCTGTGCTCCGGTCCCCCCCTCCCAGCCACGCTCTTTCTTCCCCGCCCCCACTCATCGCCCACCCCCCCCAACCCCCGCGCCGCCGGCAATCTCTCAACAAGTATATTTGCTGAGGAATTTGAAAAATCCACTACTGCAACTTGATCTGTGTGCGATGGATGGGGAGCGGCGCAGAGAGAGTTGGGCGCCAATCCTATTAAGGGTTTAGAAAGGGGAGCGTTTTCCTCGGACGGGGCCCGGGGAGGGGGGCCCGCTGGTCGGGGGAGGAGGAAGGGAGCGCGTGCGTGTGTGTGTGAGTGCGCCCCCCGTGTCGGGGGTGGGGGGGATGGAAGTGCACCCAACTGGGCGCCTTTTCAGCCCGACAGTAATTGCTGTCACTTCCTAGGAAACCCGACTTCCACCACGCGAGGAGCTGGAGCCGGAGCCGGAGCGCCTCACCCCGGGTGCCGGGTCGCAGGGGCGCGCGCGGGCTTCGGATCTCCCGCAGGGTGCCTCCCTCCACGCCCCGCTCTTTTGTGTCATTTCGGTGTGACTTTCAGAATTGATCCCGGCCGGGAAAGAGTCGACCTGTCCCCGGAGTCTGGTGCTGGGCCGCGGGGGTCTTCACTGTGCAGCTCTGCCTTCTTGCCAGGGCATCCCGCGCGGCGCTAGGCCTCCCGGGAGCACTTTGCAGCCCGGTGGCCGCGGCCGAGTCCCGGGACCCCCGCCCCGCCGTCCTCGCCGGGCGTGTGAAGGTTTAATCCCGACAGCTCCAGATAAAGGGAACAGTTGTAAAACGCTCATATGCTGTTTGCCGACGAGGCTCAGGGGGATGTTGGAGCATTTGAAAGTAAACGGTTCCCTCGCAAGCGGCATAAAATAGTGTTTAAACAAATATTGTATTGGCGTGCTCAGGGGGCTCGGTGCCAAAAAGGAAAGTAAATAAACGCTGAAATCCAAAATATACAGCGATGGGAAGCCACGGACTAGGCGGGCTGGTCACCAGTCTCCCGAGATCTGTTTGTTCTACCACCTGACCCAGAAGCCCCCTCCCCGCCCACTTCCTTACCTGGCCGGGGAGTTTTCTTCCCTCGGTGTCTTCCCTGTGTGGGGGCCTCAGAGCGGCTTTGCACTTGCCTCTGACGGGAAAAGGAAAAAACAAAACTCATTGTGTAGCTACCTGGGCTGATCTCCCCAGGGACGGGCTGGGCACCCTAACTGTGCCTGGCTGCTGTGAGTTCTGGTGGCCTTCAGGCTCGCCCCAGCTTCTGGCCTGGCCAGGGTCACTGATTTTGTACGGAGGCTGGAGGCATCCAGACCACCGCAGATACATCCCTTCAGGACCCCACCTCTTCCCATCTTGTGCCTCTTTCTTCCTTCATCTTTCCTGCTATCGTTTTCTCAGACCTACTGCTTCGACCCTGATGGCCGAGGGTTCTCCCCCAGATTGAAGGTCCCAGTCAAACCCAGCTGCGTAGAGAGTTGTCACTTGCCTGAGTTTCAAAATTAGTTCTGGTTTGTGATATTTAGGATGGTTTGTACTTCCCCTCTGCTGGGAGAAATACACTAATTTTGTGAGGTTAGTTAGTGATGGTAGGGGGATTTAAGCTGAGGCAGGAAGCGCTCCAGTGGAGGTGAGGGTCCCACTCACCCAGGAAATAGGTGACCCGCCTCTCCCTTGTCTTGGCATCTGAGTGAGACTGTAGTCAGCTCAGTCTGTTTTCAAAGTCAGTGGGCTGAGAATGCCAGTGGAAAGGAGGAAGGCACTCCCAAATCATGGCCAGGCTCACTGAGGACCAAGGCAGGCCTGACTGTTAGGGAGAGTTTTCTTTTTTTTTTTCATTCTCCATGAGAATGGTTTGGAGGGGAATTTGTACAGGGATCAGACTCCTTCGGCAGAGCATCCCAGGCTGCTTCCAAACTCACACGGACCCTGCCCTTGGCCTTGGAGGGGACTTTTTGACTTGGCCCATCTTGAAGGATGTGTGGGGTTAGAGAGGCCCTTCTGGCCGGGCAGCCTTAGAAAGGAGGGCCGGTGTGTGTTCTCGGGGATGCTCCAGCTCACTCGTGGGGAGGGTGCCGAACAGTGAGTTGCCTAGTTGGAAGAGGGGGCTACAGGGCTGCTGGTCGATGACTCCCCGCCTGGCTGCAGGGGTCTTGGAGGCTGTGTGCTGTAGCTGGCTTGTTTGCACTGCAGACTGAAAGATACACAAATACTTCATGCTTTGTGTACTCCCAGAAGTGCCCTGTACACAGGGCGGCCCTTAGGGCCGGGTTAGCCAACCTGGCGATTCAGCAGGCAGGCTGCCAGAATTGAATATTTGCCTAAGAAACACCCTTCTTTCAGCAGAACCTCTCTTGACCACCCAGAGGAAGTCAGGGGGACCTTCACCCTACAGATGCCAGCAAGTCCCTCTTAACGGGGACCAGGCAGTTTTCATGCGCACTTTGAAAGACCGTGTGACCCCCACACACCCAGCTGACTTGTGGAAGCGCAAAAGGCGAGCCCTATAGCTTTGTGGACTCAAGGGGTAGTGCTGCCTGCCTTTTCCTGGGGAACGTGTGTTCAGCCGCATTTCCTTTCATCTCATGATGCTGGCTCCTAGGCCAGCTCCAGGGAGGTGGAGCCACCTGTCCTGCTTCTTTAGGATGCAGAGGGCTTCTACCTGTGCCAGGCCCCATTTTCTGGGGCTCACGGATGGTGCTTGGGTCAGGTGGAGCTAGCTGTGGAGGGCTGCAGCTGTACCCCCTGGGCCCTTTGAAAAGGAACCCCTCCCTAGGGTAGCAGCTCTCTGCTTTCTTCTTTTCAGTAAGTGTCAGAGGCGTGCACACTTGAAACATGTGAAGAATACCAAAGAGGGAAACTGTACTCTTAGATTCCAGAAAATTCAGAGAGGCCACAGAGGTGATTGTACCAGCCACCAGAATAGGCCTGGTTTCAGTGATCAAGGCTCACTGGCTTCTAGAAAAGGCAGGAGGGGAGCCTGCTCTTTAATTGTGGCCTCAGGTTTGTTTAAAAGATGGTTTGGGAAGGGGTCCTGGGACAGCTTTGTCATTTGGCAGTGTCTTTTGGTAAAGAACAACAGCTTCGTTAGTTTTAAATAAATCCTTGCCACCAGATTCAATACTGTGTATTCCAAAATGAGTTTGAATGTTTGCTGTGGACTCCAAAGGATTAAAAAAAAATCATCGATCATTGTTTTCTCTTTCCATGTCTTTTTTGATCATTGTTTTTAGATTTGGAGGGTGACCAAAATATCCTAAACCTACAAAACTATGTTTAACCCCCTGGGGAAATACCCTAGTGATAACAGCAGACTTTCTGCCTGTTTAGTATCTTATTTCCCTCTTCTCCTTTATTCTAGCTTTTTAAAAATCATATTGTGTGAGGGAAAATAACTCACTTAAGATGTGACCAAAGAGTTCACATAAACTGTTTTTGAGATTTTTGGTTTAAAGTGAATAAGTTCATGTGGTTTTGTGTGTGTGCTTGCGTGTCATAAAAAAACAACCCCCCAAAAACAGGTTGCTGGGCAATGTGTTTTAACTGTGAGTGCCCGGTTTCAGGCATTAGCATAAGAAAAAAGTTTTAGTGCATTTCCTATTGTCTTGAAAGAAGAGTTTCAGCAAAGGGAAGGAAAGCCGCAAAAGGGTGATGGTCCATTGAGATTCTGCGGCAGCCCCGGCTCGTCATCTGGCCCTGAAATCTGTGATCGGATATCACTTTTATCTCAGTTTTCCATTCTCCGGCCTTTTTCACACGTTCACTTTTTGTCAAGGTTTATTGATTATGTTTTCTTCTCTGCAAATCTGTGGAAAATTTAATGAACCAAACACAGCAGTGAAATAAAAGGGACTTTTTATTCATTAGCAAGGGATTGATTTCCCCCCTTGGGCGCAGGGCCCCTGGCCTCTTGAGAGGTAGTGAGCGAGGGAGATGGGGGAGGGGGTGGCCCTGCCCCCGGGCTGAGGCGGGGCCTCCCCGCTGACCAGCGCCGTCTCGGCCCCGGACTCCCGTCCGCGCTCCATCCTTATGGTGGTCCTGGGCCCGCTGCAGACCTCCGCCTCGACCTCCGGGATCTGGGTTCCTCCGGGATCGGGGCTCCCTGGGCTTCGGGGGCGGGCTAGGGATGGGGATATTTGTGTTCTCAACCCTGGCAAACCTCTCGAGGGCCTGGGCCTTCCCCGGGACACAGTTAAGTAGGGCCCTTCCTCCAGCCCGGGCTTTCAGACCTGTAATTAAGCAAAGCCCCTGGTGTGATTAGGCTGTGCTGACTCGGCTGGGTTCTTTGGAGCCGCGTCCCTCCACGAAACAGTGAACTTTAGCTCTTTGTAGAGGCTTCCTGGGTAGCCGGGGGTCGGATTCGATTGCACGTCTGTCTGTCTGTCTCCCCAGCACCCGCTTCGCCCTTCTCTGCCCGCTTTGTCTCCTGCCTGTCCATCTTCCTCCCGCCCCCCCCCCTTCGCTCTCGCCCTGTGTCCCGCCTCTCCCCGCCTTGCGTCTTCTTTCTCTCCTCGCTCCTGTCTTTTCTTTCCCTCCCTCTCCTCGTTCCTTAGGCATCTTTTTATGTCGCTCCCGCTCCGCTCCCTCCTTCGTCTCCCCGCCCCCCTCCATTTTCTGCCCCGCGGAGGGCTGGCTGCGAGGCCTCCGGGAAGCCGCGTGTCCGGGCCACCGGGACGGTGGCCGCGTCCGGGGAGCCCTCCGCGCCCCGAGCGGCTCGCGCGCCGGCGGCGCCGCGTCCCTCCCACCTGCCCGCCGGCCGGGTTTGCAGCGCCCAAACAATGGCCACATTGTCCTGGCCGCGCACCGGCCGTCCCTGGCGAGTGGCGGCAGGCCGGACCCTGCTCGTGGCGGCTCGGGAAGAAAGCCAGCGGCCCAGATCCAGATCGGGCGCCCTTGGCGCCGGGCGGGAGACCGGAGCGCCCGGGAGCCCGCGCTCACCTGGGGACGGCGCTTCTCCCTGCCCACGGCCGCTGGCCCTCCCTCCCTCGTCCCAGTGGCTCTCCACCCACTTCTCCGAGAAGGGGATTCATTCGACTTTACGTGACAGTTTGCAGTGAATTGAGAGCATTTAACTAAAGCCAGGAGAAGAGGGGCCACGTTACCAAACTTTTGGCGGCATCAGAAAACTTTTTCCAGAAGGCATATGTGCGAGTGAAGGTAGCCACGAAGGCCTGCTTTTGCCCTGACAATTCTCCTTCCCCCACCGAGGCAGGAAAGTAATGGTGGTCACTCAAAATAGTATCCCCCTTCCCCCCCAGTTCTTCTTTATCTGTAGGGATTGAAGACCTCTCAGCGCTCAGAAAAAGAAGGATCTTTGAATGCTGAGGATGTTAAAAGAGCGGTGGTCCCCGGTGCAAGCAGACGCTTAGCAATGCTCCTTTGTGTTGTGGACAATGCAATAAGTCAGCCCGACTTTTGAGCCACATTTATAAGGGACTGTAAGGGCCGCTCAAGTACACTTGTGCTAAGTTGAATTGATTGAAATTTAATGGCGGTTAGTGGCGATGAATGGTAATGATTTCCCAGCGTATCTTTGGCATACTTGACATTAATAACCCGAGTGTGTGTGTATACCCGCACCGGGAACCTGCCACACACGTGAGGCGGGAGCATTATTCATTTTCTGAGATGCCAGCCCTTCGCCTCCTTCCTCTCCTCATATCCTTTTCCTTCTCACCATAATTCAGTTGTTCAGATGATGTAAAAAAAAAAAAAAAATCAAAGGGAAAGAAGGAAAGAGAAAAATCTTTCTCCATTGAGTCCGTACATCATGTCAATATAATTTTGAGCTCATGATTTTTTTCAGTTCCTACATAAATCAGCTTCTAATATACAGAATGTGATGAATTTGTTTTAGCTGCCACCATGAATTAATGTTATGCAAATAGAAGCTTTGCAGGTGAAATGATTTACTTAATAATTTCAACTTCTAATATTTAAACTCATTCATTATGTTGGGAGTTAAAAAAAAGAAGTCCATATTTTTCAACCTGTGAAGGGGAGATTAGTATGCAAGTATTTGCGGCATAGGCAGGCCTTGATGGCCAGAAAATAGCTCTTAATGTGTTGATTCTTTCTAGGAGGATCTATAGTTCACCAGGCAGAGGTTTAAGAAGCAGGGGATGGAAGTCTTAACAAGTGCCTTCCGGGGGAGGAAATAAATGCATGGAAATAAATCCAAAGTGACCATCACTGTAATATGTCTCCTGGGACTGTACAGGCTCTACTTTGGGAACCTAGCTGGGCTTTGCTTTTGAGCTAGTCTTGAAGGATGAGTCTGTCTAAGCCGGGTGACGAGTAAAAGGGCTCTGATGCCTCCACCCCTATGTTTGTCACTGGTTTGTCGAGACCATCTTAAGAGCGAGTTGTTAATAGCTGCCCATGAAGGTGGCAGTGATATAGAAAGTTGGGCAGAGGACTGCCCCACCAGAAAAAAAAAATGCTAGAAAGACTACTATGTGTATCATCTTTGCAGGATGTTTTCTTCTGGAAAAAGTTGGAGAGTAACAGTGGTGGATAAGTGCCCTGTGATGAGTGATGAGCCCGACCTCCTGGGTTACCCTCCAAGAGTGTGAGACTGCTCGCTTAGGAGCTGGGGGACCCGGTGCAAGCCGCTTGGCTCCTCTGTGGAAGGGGCGGGGATGGCAGGCGCGGTCTCTCAGATCCTCTAGCCACAGTGTCCTGGCACTCAGCACACCCTGCCTCTCGCAGCCGCCATTAAGAATCAGACCTCAGGCGGGGCTGGTGGGAGGGGGACCAAGGTCTGGGCAGAGTGTGGGGTCTTGGTCTTTGCCTCTGCTTTTGTGTAGTGAGGCTCCTCTCAAGGAAGAACCCTCCTTCCCCCACCTCCTTCTCCGCCTGTCACTGCCTAGTCAGCTGTAGTGCTCAGAGCTCCTCTGGGACGTGGTCACTGGTTGAGTGGGCGTGGGGTGGACGTGGGGACATTGGTGGGGGCGGGGGAAGCACGTGGCCTGCAATGGCCTTTTCAGACTTTTCTGAAGGCTACAGCCAAGTTGAAGGGTGGGCTGACACATAAATATGTCTTGGATCTCTGAAGATAAGTGTCAAGTTTTGACTTGCCTTCTCCAAAAATTGAGGTCATCGTGATCAGATGATGGGTTGAAAGGACATCACTCAACCGTTTCTGCAGACAGCAGAGCGTTGTGCAGGGGTGATGCATTGTGTGTCCAGGCAGCGGCAGAGTATTTAGGGCTGACTCTTTCTCTCTGCGGAGATCAAGGTGAGGGGACGTCATTGATGGTTGCCGGCTGAATGTGCCTCATTTGTGCAGGGAGAGAAGGAATCTGACTCAGCAGTCACTTAGCCAGGAGTTGTCAGGTGTGCTGGCGGCAAGATGAAGCAGGGTGGCAGGGTTTGAGTGTGACTGGATGTCTTCATCTTTCTAAGATGTAGTACTCTCATGTCTTTATGTTACTTACATGCATGAATGTAGTATCGATTATGTATCCACTCTTCAGGTTAAGTATGGTGGTAGAGTCAAGTCTCGTCTGACTTGCGACCCCATGGACTATAGCTCACCAGGCTCCTCTGTCCATGGGATTCTCCAGGCAAGAATACTGGAGTGGGTTGACATTTCCTTCTCCTAGGTTAAGTATGTGTGTGTGTATATATATACACACATACACACACATCCAGAAATCTTTTAACTACCAGATCCCTTTATGAATTAGATTTTTTTCTTCTAAGATGCACTTAAACAAAAATAACTAGCATAGAAGAATGAAGTCAGAACTGGAAATGAGTTGAAGAGGCAAATCTGAAAAGAAAACCTCCAGGGGGCTTCTTTCCTGCCAGGGATTCAGGTGGAAAGCTGGTTAAATATGCAGATTCTCAGGCCCCTCAACCTTTTGCTAGTGGCTCAGATGGTAAAGAATCTGCCTGCAGTGCAGGAGATCCAGGTTCAATCCCTGAGTTGGGAAGATCCCATGGAGAAGGGAATGGCAACCCACTCCATTTTTAGGGATTTTTAGGATTTTAGGGGCAAGGTGATGGGGACTTAATGATTTCTTCCTGTGACGCTCTTCACCTCACTGGTTTTTGCATTTAATAAAGGGAGAACATTTCCTTCTGTAAGGCTGGATGGATAACCCAGCATTTAGACTTCCCAGCTATTTGGTGGACTGGAGGTTGGGGCAAATAAACTAGCTGAGAACTGAGCTGCTTCTGCTCCAGAACATCACAGAGAAATGGGCTGTCTATCTGTCGGGCAGCTCCGACAATCCCACGGTTTGCTGAGAAGGGTACCTGGAGAAACCAGAGAGCAGCGAGCTTACTAAACCAGCACCTTGGTTTCTGTGCCGTGGGTTCCTGACCTGAGGGTCCTTTCGACGGCTCCTTTGTTTGTTCCTGTATAAAAAATTATACCTGTGCATCGTGGTGGCTGGCTCCTTGCTTCAGCTGCCAGAAGTCAGACCCTTTTGGGGTCTAGTTCAGCATTGCAGAGTTTGAGCAGGTCTTTGGTAAGAGTGACCCAGACTGAGGTTCGACTTACCTCTGGGTGTCTTTATGGTTCCCTGAGAAGGGGAGGAAGGATATACAGACTGAGTGAGAGGAGCTGGTATAGGATATCATGGCCTCCCAGCCGTGGTGGCCTCAGGCCTGGAGCTGGAGAGAGCCAGCCATGAGGAGGATGGGCTGGTGCAGGGGGCCTGCCATGAGGGAGATGGGCTGGTCTAGACCTCCCAGGGCAGATTGAGGGCACACTGCCCAGCTATGCCCCTGGCACTGGGAGCCTCGAGGGAAGTGGGATGAGGGCTGGTGGCATCTCTGTGTCCCTGGTGTCTGACACCTGGGTGCTACATTCCTTTCCAGATCCGGCCCACAGTCCAAGGACCCCCAGACCACTAGTGCCCAACTCCACTGTTTTACCAAGAGCAGCTGAGGTCCCACACTAGAGTGCTGCTCCTTCACTGACACGCCTCTTCCCTTCTCCAAGGACCTTCTTGAGTGGGTGGTTGGTGGTGGGCAAGAAGGATGGAGGTAGCATCAGGCTGATGGCCCCTGTGGAATCTTGCCTGGAAGTTGGTTTGTTGGACTAGACCTGACCCACAGACCTCCTAGCCCCCATCCTGCCCTTGCTTGCAGTGATGTCAGCAGTGAGAAGCCAAGCCCCCAGACCCCTGCCCACCCTGGGCATCCACCAACCTGCTTCCCAGAGCACCGTGTGTCCCTCTGCAGGTGCCCTGCCACCTGCCCAGCCAGGCAACGGCAGCCGCGCAGCCCTTGGGCCGGACCTGGCCCCGCCCACTCTCCTGTCCAGCCCAGCTCGCCCTGTGGGTACCTCCCCTTTCCCCTAGCCCAGGCCCGCCCACAGCCTCTTTCTCCTGCTTCTGTTTCCTTAGGTTTCAGTTCTGTTTTATTTAGGTTTGAACATCCATCTCTTCGCTTGGCTCAGGCTCTATTCAGGTCTATACTTTGGTTTAGCACCTGGGCATTCGAGCAGAGCCTTCCCTTCTGATGTAAAAATGTTAACAACAACAAAATGTTTTCCCCACAAGATCTTAAAACTAAGACGTGTTTTTTTTCTGCTTTTTTTTCTTTATAGAAAACTTATGAAATAGGAAACAGCACAGAGAGGAAGATTTTGTCAAGTTTCCTTCCAGTCTCTATTTTGTTTCTAAGGAATAATTTTTTGGCTCTATGTTTTCTTACAAAATTGAAGTTAAATCATAACTTAATTGTAATAGTAACTTCACTATAACATTATCTCATGGACAGTCCACATTATTAATGCATACTCTTCATGTGATTTTTTTATTGGCTATCTAATATTCCTTTATCTTCTCAAGCATATATATATATATATATAAAACATATGCTTTTTTTAAATTTGACTATGCTGTGTGGCATGTGGGATCCTAATTCCCCAATCAGGGATTGAACCTATGCCACCTGCAGTGGAAGCTTGAAGTCCTAACTACTCCAGGGAAGTCCATCCATAAGCATATTTTATTTTACTCTCTTTATTATATTGTTGGGCATTTAGGGTTTTTTTTTTCCTGTCAATAGTTTTTGCTGTTGTAG